TGTGTGAGGCTGGAGGCCTGTGACCTGTACCCGCTGTGCACTGTGACCTGGGGCAGATCGCTGCCTTTTCATGAAACAAGGGGGCCTGGACCGATGACGCTGCTGAGCCCTTCCCGCCCGGACCTCCCTCTGTGCTCTCAGGTGTTGAGAGTTTGCGAGCTGATTCCTGATCTGGGGCCCTGCGAGAGCACATTTTCAGCAGAGGTTCTGCCCCCATTCCCGACCCAGCTTTCCAGCTGGAGGCTTCCTTTCCCACCCTCCCCTTCCCCGCCATCCCTCCCTGCCCAGCCCTGCATCCCCGGGCGGGTACCAGAGCTCCACTGCTGAGCAGGATCATGAAGATGATGAAGGTCTCGAACCAGCTGTGCTCCACGATGTGGTAGCAGGTCTTGCGCAGTCGCCACCAGACCTTCCCTGGGGCCTGCGTGGTGTCCACCGTGCAGCAGGGACAGCGCCGGACACAGCCTGTGGGGGAGGGAGAGGGGTCAGGGCCAGGTCAGGGGCTGTGGATGCCCATGTCCGATGGCAGAAAGTTTGGTGGTTGAAGGAATGACCGGGAGACAGAGATTACCATGGGGGGTGACGAGCAGGGCTCCATGGTGGGTGGGGCCATGGGGGGCAGGGAGGGCTGTAGGTGCTGTCTGCTTCGCCCACACTCGGCAGGCACCCTGTGCAAAGGCCACATGGACCAGGCACCCAGGGAGTGGAGGAAGGGCCCGGCTGGGGCTGGGTGGGCTCCATCTTGTCCTCTGCTCATCTGGGAAACCCTCCCCCTGCCAGAATGTTCCAGAACTCCCTGGGCTGCTCTGTCCTTGGGCCTGCTCCATGTTTGCAATTTCTGAGCCTTGGGAAGGACGGGCCCTTCACTGGCAGCCCCAAAGGATGTGCCACGTGGAGGACAATCCCTCATTGTATCCCCAGCTGCCCTCCAAACACACCACCAATTCACTATAAAAGCTGCAGATGCCGGTCACCGTGCCAAGGCCTGAGGGGGCAGCGGTGAATGAGACCCAGGCCCTGCCGCTGTGGGAGCGGACAGTCATGCTACCACCCCACAGATGCAGAGGCACCAGTCCCTGTGCAGCTGACCCACAGCTGCCCAGTCCAGCAGACTGCTGGCAGACTCGCCATGACTCACGTCATGATGGAGGAGCCCCCAGGGCCCTGATGAATGGGGGAGGGAGGGGAGCCAGCCGGACAAGCGTGGGGTGTAATATGGACCCAGCATCCAAGAGCTGCTGGTCCTCCCTGCCCCTCCAGGCAGGGCTGAGGCTGGGGCAAAGGGCCACCCAGGGAAGGACCTTCGGTGAAGCAGTCCTCCGGGTCCTTGACATCCTCGCCGAGGTCAGGGGTCTGCTCCAGGAGGTCAGCGGTGATGGTCATGTCTGCTGTGCTCCCCTCGGAGTAGCTGTCCTCGTGGGTCTGTGGGCAGGAGCGAGGGGAGGGTGGGCGAGGACATGAGTGTGGGCCATGTAGCAGCCTCCAGCCCTGAGCCTGGGGAGTCTGGGGCTCCCGGAGGGGAGGTACCCCCACTATTATCCATTAATCTCCCGGGGAACCTGAGCCCGGGATGAAGGAGAACTGGCCCCAGAGGTCACCTAGGGCCAGTCAGGGCTGAGCAGAGGCTGGACCTCGGGCTTCTGGGTCTGTGGTTCTGGTCGGCTGGGGTCTAGGGCAGGGGTGTGGGGGAAATATGGGGCTAAAGCATCAGTCCAGCTGGGAACAAAACAGACATCGGGTGGCAACACAGAAACATACTGGCACAGGGGCACACGGCACAGAGGGGTAGCTCAGCACACGCAGAGGAAACAGGCATGCCACACCCAGAACAGAGTCGGAACCAGCATCCTGGCACACGTAAGCACCAGGCCAGACATGCAGAGAACAGGCCGGCAACCCACCCCTGCGTCCCCCCAATTCGTGTGGGTGCTGGCGTGAGGCGCGGAGTCTGCAGTAAGAGCGGGAAGGGGCTGGGCCGTTCCCGGCCTGGCACGCAGGGCTCTGCTGCCTCGACCGCACGTAACCTGATTACAGAGAGGGGTGCGCACGCGGTGTGCCCTGTGCGTGCCTGCGTGTGTCACCTGTGAGTGCTGGCTGTGGGGGCCGTGGCGCTCTGCCAGGTTCCCCTCCTTCAGGCCAGTGCACCCATCCCAGCCCCTGTGAACACTGGCTGCGGCCTGTCTCCACCTCCAGAAAACTGTCTTTAGCCTGGGAGCTGCCATCTCTGGAAATTGCTCGGGGTTGCCATGAAAGCCAGCGTGAGGGACTGATATGGAGGGAACCGAGCTGAGGCCAGAATCCAGCGACCACGCCCCACCGCGCCTCCACCTCATCCTACGTCTCTTCCTGTGGGTGTCCCTGGAGAGCGCTCCCTCCATAGGTCCTTGGGGCTGGAAGCCTGCGGCAGGCTCTGCCTCCAGGAGCCCACCCTACGGACAGGAGGCCGGGCAGGGCTTGTGGGAAGGAAGGGAGCCTTCACTGGCTTCATGTCACATCCACATCCTCAGCTCAGTGGCCGCCTCGTTGCGCAGGCTCGGGCCCCACGCAGAGATGTGCCGGTCTGAGATCTGGCGCCCCTGCTCCTCCCACTGCCTTCCCTTCTCTTCCTTCCGGGACGAACTCCACTGGTGTCTCCAAGTCCTCAGCCTCAGCATTCAGCTTTAACATTTAGACTGCGATGGGGAAGTGCTGGTGGGAACGGAGAGCGCCCTCCGCTGGGCAGGGTGGAGCCATGCCCCAGGGCGAGGCGCTGCCTTCGTGGTCCCCGCTGCCAGGAGGGTCATTCCTTTCTTCCCAGCTCTGCTTTGGACACTGAGCTGGGACAGGCCCAGCCGGAGGTCTTCACCCTGCTCTTCCTTGCACCCACGGGAGCTGCCCCCAGGATGCGGGCTTGTCACCAGGGAGGCCGAGTTCTCAAGATCCAGTGAGGTGATGGGGTCCTTCTCCCAGGAAAGCCCCTGCCCACCCACCCTCCCCTTTATGGGGTCCAATATGACCTAATTTGGAGAGAGAGGAAGAAGCCACCAAACCCGTTCCAAGGCCAACAGTCCAGTAGAAAGCCCTACTCTCCATGACTTTCGGTCCCTCCGTGTCTTCCTGTTCCCAGGTGCTGCTGTTAGGGTGATGGCTCCACCAGGCCCTCTCGCTCCCAAACTGGCCTTGATGACAGAGCTTCCCATAGGCCCTGCCCATGCCATGGACAAGGCAAAGGAGAAATGTCCCCTTGGAGCAGGTCTCAACTGCTGGCCTGAGGGTCTCGAAACACGTGACCTCCACCTTCCATGGTGTCTGGCATGAGTTGGGGTGGGGGTGGTTGTTAGCAGGGCCACGGTCTGCTAGCGCAGGGGCCGCACACACAGATGGGTACGGGGGGCCAGGCAGGTCATTAAAGGGAGTCAGGCCGGTGGGCTCTGAAGCGAACCAGAGCGCCACTCCGGGCGCAGCGGCCACTTGCCTCCAGCAGGGCGGCTCTTCCAACTATTTTTCAAGAGAAGCCAGAAATGCAGATTTTTTTACATAAAAGCTCCCAGGTTTTAAATGCTGGCGGCCAATTCAGATTAAAACCCTTTTTGTGGTCAGAACAAAACCCTCTAGTAGGCCTCCCATTTGCGGCCTCTGCTTTAGCCCCGTGAGAAGCAGCTGGTGGCCGATGCACCAAGAAGCCAGGCACTTGTTTTCAGAGCTCCCGGAAGTCCCCTGGCAGGGGTGCGGGGTGGTGGGGTGGTGGTGGGGCCTTCACAGGACACATGGTTGCCAAATGGGACTGAAGCACAGGGACCGAGTGAGGAGGGGTGAACACACGGAGGTTTGGGGTTAGTCCTGCAGCGCAGTCCTGGGAGGGCAGCTTCTAGAATTTCCCCGTGGCTCCGGGCCCCACGCCATCCCACCCTCCCCTGTGTGGACGGGGCTGCCCGGGGTCCCCTCTGCAGATGGTCTCCCATCCAGCCCGTGACGGCTGCTGTGGGTCCCACCAGCCCATGCAGGCTCCAGCCCGAGAGGCAGCACCCCGCTGGCTTCAGGGGCACAGGTGTGCGTTACCTCACTGCACCCTA